ATAATAGAACAAAAGCGTCGCGCGTACTAGAAATTATTCATTCTGATTTAAATGGGCCACATCAAACTACAGGATATTGTGGCGAAAGATACTTTCTCACATTCATTGACGAGTATAGCAAATGTGCAAAAGTCTATTGTATAAAATCTAAGTCAGAGACGTACAAATGCTTTGTTGAGTATGTTAATTTAATTGAAAACCCAACAGAAAAGAGAGTAAAAATCTTGCAATGCGATAACGGTAAAGAATATCTAAATCGCGATGTTTTTGAATTTGCTAAAAATAAAGGTATTAAAGTAAATCCATGTCCTCCATATGTGCACCAGCTAAATGGAATTGCTGAACGGTATAACAGATCAATTATGGATACCGCAAGGTGCTTGTTAAAAGAAGCAAATATAAGTAAAACATTTTGGCCTGAAATAATTAAAGCCTCGGCTTATTTAAAAAATAGAACCGTAGCAAACACACTTGAAGACAAAACCCCATTTGAAATAATGTTCAACAAGAAGCCTAGCGTAGAACATTTAAAAATTTACGGGAGTAAAGTCTTTGTGAGAACACCCGATCAAATTAGAAGAAGTAAATGGGATGATAAATCAAAATTAGGAACTTTAGTCGGATATAATGAAAACGGGTATAGAGTTTTGTTCAAAAATAAAGTTATAAATGCTCGACATGTTGACGTGATAGAAAAAGGTATAAAATTGATTTGTGTTGATGAAGAGAAAAATTAAATTAATGAAGCGGAAAATGAACATTTTGAAAGTGCGATAATAATTTAGAAGATTTAGTAAATGACGGGTTAGTTGTTCAGGATAATAAGGATTTTGAAGATAAAGACGAAAACAGGGAATGCAAAAAATTAGAAATAAGGCGATCAGATAGAAAGAAAAGTCCTATTCTAAGATATGGTTATGAAGAAAATGCGACAAATTTTATATATATAAACTATTGCGATACTAATGTCCCTGATAGTTTTGAAGATGCGATTAGAAGTAATGAATCGGGTAAGTGGAAAACGGCAATGGATTCAGAATATAAAAGTCTAATCAAAAATGAAACATGGCAGTTAGTTGATAGGCCAAAAGACAAAGATATTATTGATGTGAAATGGGTGCATAAAAAGAAAGATGGAAATACTTATAAGGCTAGATTGGTTGCAAGAGGATTTCAACAAAAGGAGCATATAGATAATGTTTATTCTCCTGTTGTAAAAATGCAGACCTTGAAATTATTACTTTCATATTGTTGCCAAAATGAATTAGAAATTCAACAGATGGACGTTGAAACAGCTTTCCTCAATAGTGAAGTAATTTCTGAAATATATTTAAATCAGCCCAAAGGATACGAACAAGGCAAAAACAAAGTTTGTAAATTAAAAAAATCTCTATATGGATTAAAGAAAGTCCAAGGTCCTGGTATAACTGTTTTAATGAATTCGTATTAAAATTAGGTTTCGAGAGGAGTAATTATGATTATTGTGTTTATGTAAAAAGAGTTGGAGATGAAATGACGTTTATACTTCTATTTGTAGACGATTTATTGATCTGTGGTAAAAATCAAATGGAAATTCAAGGTGTTAAAGAAAAATTAATAAATCGCTTTAAAATGAAAGATTTAGGCCAGGCCAAAACTTATATAGGCATAGAAATAAATAGCGACATAAAGAGAAATACTTTAACGTTGTGTCAGGAAAGGTATATAGAATCTCTTGTTGAAAAGTATGAGTTGAAAAGTGCTAAATTATATGATACTCCAATGGAGACAAATTTAAAATTAGAGCCAGCATCAGAAGTTGACAAGAGTATTAAATTCAGAAATTTGATTGGCGAACTATTATATATCAGCACTGGTTCTAGACCAGATATTACATACAACGTAAATTATTTGAGTCGTTTTCAAAATTGCTACAGTGAAAATCATTATAAATATGCTATGAGAATTGTTAAGTATTTATATCGAACCAAACATTTAAAGTTAACATATAAAAAGAACAATGGTATGAATATCTTAGACTGTATGGTCGATTCAGATTGGGCAGGTGATAGTATAGACAGGAAATCGACTACTGGATATGTAATAAGAATGTATAATAATTTAGTTTTTCGGAGGACCCATAAGCAAAATACGGTAACGAAGTCATCAACCTTTGCAGAATATATAGCCTTATCAGAAGCAGTAACTGATGTAATTTTTATAAAAAATATGCTAAACGAAACATTTAATATTAAAATAAATAAGCCAATAAAATTATATGAAGATAATTCAGGAGCATTAATAATTGCTAAATACGGGAATTATACTAAAAACTCGAAGCATATAGAAGTACAGTATCACTACGTAGATGAAAATTACGAGAAAGGGATTATAGATGTGGATAAAATAAATTCAGAGGATAATATTGCAGATATACTTACGAAAAGCCTATGTAAAAACAAGTTCATAAATATTAGAAAATCAATGAGACTAATCTAGAAGAGAAAATGTCTTAGCTAATATACAGAATTAAAAACCGGAAATAAGAATAATTCTAAGACTAATAAATATTATGTGAAAATGAATAATGTGAAAGTAACAAATTG